GTGTGTACTGTCCATCTCTCATCATTAGTTTGTGATTTTGAGAATCACATGCATCCTCAGTAGACATTCTAGGAACTGGGAATATTCATGGTTAATTCTCTCTAATAGAATTCATGTGATAACCATGTGCTATATATGTCACATCCATGGATAGTATTTTCATGTCAATATGATAATGTGACTACAAAGGAGCAATGAATTACAAGGCCTATGGAATGGCTTACTCCCCTCCTGCTATCTTTATCTAGGGAGAATGGCTCTGGAAGTGTCAATATAAAAAAAAGACCTATGTATGCAATGGCACATATTCAGTTATCAGACCACTGGGGATATAAAAAAAAAAGCATCTGTAATTGAAGACTTTTACTTTACAAATAATTGTATACCGTGAATCTTGGCAAGTTTAGCATATACTTGACTGCCTTGTGTGATGAAGTTCCTGGTGATGTTATTTGCTTCATCTTTGGTCAGCTCTTATGGTGGAAAATGTTTCTTTACAAGGTGCCAATGGCTGTCTAATCAAGTATAACTTCATTATCATAGTTCTTGTTGTTTAGAGACAGGGTCTCATGCAGCTTGTGTTAGCCTTGAACTTGCTAAGGAGGTCTTGGACTCCTGATCCTCTTGTCTTTACCTCCAAAGTGCTGTAATTCCAGGTTTTTACCACCACACCTGGTTAGTGGCACTTCCTGAGTCTAAGCAGAATGCTTCTAACCCTTCCTTAGATGACCACCTTTAGGGTATTTGAGGGTAGACATTTTTCTAGTTCTGTACTTAATACACATTTTCTTTTTAAAGGAAAAGAAAACTTAATTTGAAGCTTTCTTTTACTACTCCAATTAAATGCTAAGTGAGATCAAAGGAAAACATGGATGAATTTTTAAATTTCTGCCCACTATTATGGGCAGGTCCCGAGGAATGTTAGATGCTATTATTGCAGAAAATTGTAGACTTGATATAGTCGAGATGTTTATGAACCAATTTTGGGATTCCTGGTTGAACTTTTCACAGCATTGTATTATCTTGATTCTTAGTGTGTTAGGAAGGATTCAGATTTTAAATCTTCATGGTAGAGTATTTAGAGTATTTAGGTAGCATATAGTGATAATTCCTTGCTATTATACAGTACTTTAAATATCTAAAGTATTTTGGGATAATACCTCATTTGATACTTAAGGAATCCTGTGAGGTAGCAGGAAAGTATTAGCCCTTTAAAAAGTCAGAAAATAGAGGAAAGATTAAGTGTTTTGCTTGTGGCTTTTATTTCTTCCCCCCAGTTAACAAATGGCAGAGGCTGAGTTTAACCTCAGTCTAGGCATTTTCTGATCTCCATGTTGCCTCAGTTACAGCAGGATGCCTACCATTGTTCTCCAGGGAAGAAAGTTGCCCTGGATTTGTTTCATAAGTTCAAGCTACTCTTCAGTAATATATTTATACACTAGATCAACAATAATATTTAGAATTTAATTATGTTGACTTTTTAGTGTTTTTTATAAAACCTATTTGGTGTTTTTATAAAATCAAATAATAGGTAACATTATGCATATGAACAACAGTTTTTAAAGGTGATTTTAGCTTCCAGGAATTTCCTTAGAGCAAGTGAAATGAAATATTAACTTGTAAGTTAATTCAGATCGTGATTTTGAGTTGCTGTGTCTTAGTCACAGTGTCAAGCCTAATAAGAATTGAAAATAATTTTTATTTTGTTTTGATGGTGTTTTTATTCTTCCACCTATTTCAGTCATACAATTTTAGTCTTGGAGTAAAGGAATTGGGAAGGAAAAGCCCCAAGGTCTGAGAATAAAGCCTTGCCAGTTATCATGGTGATTGAAGAGTCTGAAATAAATCTTTTTCATTGAGTACTTGGGTGACACTGGGGTCCTACCACACAGGTTGACGAAGGGAGGAACAGCATGATGCACCCTCATTCACCTTAAGTGTAAACCTGGAACTAAGTATTTAAAGGGTTCTCCTTCATGGGGATAGCTTGATTGGACATGGATATCCCAGCTGTCTGTCTGACCTGCTTTGTCACTTGTTCCAACCATCTTCATCTGGGAAAACACTGGAGCTTGGGAACTTACATTATCTACTTCAGAAGTGGCTAGAATATTTCATGCTCTGTGATTACTTAGTCCTTATATTTTATATATCTTTATAATGACACCACCTCTGTCTGTACAAAACTGCCAGCTCTTTGAATAAATGAAGTCACAAACAGCTTGACAACCTGAGTTGGATCCCCAGAACCCAAAGTGGAAAGAGAGAACTGACTCCCAGAAGTTATACTGTCACCTCCAAACCTGTGCATTTGACTATGTGTTCAAATATACAATGTGATAAACAAAATTAAGCAAAAACAATAATGTGGAGAGTAATCAAGGTAGGCACTGAGGTCAACCTTTATTTTCCACACATATGTGCATATTCATATGAACTCATACATACAGCACACGCGTGTGCGCGCGCACCCACCCACACACCCACACACACACACCAACCCACACACACACACACCCAACCTCCTAACATCAAACTTTGGAGTTCCTATATTTTGTTTCTATTCCTTGCCTAACAAGAACATCTGTAAGAAAGTTCTCTGATTTGCTTGTATCCACTAAAGTTGATTTTTGTGGCCTTTGACTGATGAGGCATTGGTCAGACTCAACTCAGGGGTCTGTTCTCTGATAGTACATTAATAATATATATGCACTAAAGCTTCTTCCCAGAGAATATTTGAGCTTTGACATATTGAACAGTAGCATTTTAAATTAAATCTGCTGCTGTCAGTGCGTTAAAAAAAAAAAAACTGGATAGCTTAGAAACAGTGTTTCATATATTATAAAAACAAAACTGAGGTCATATGTAGTTTACTATGACAAAATACACCCAGCCTGCTTAATTGTGGTAGGGGCTTGAATTGAGTTTTTCAATTATCACAACCTCAACATCTTTCAAAGCAAGAAAGAATAATAAACTGTTTATCCCCATCTCCAGGGCTTTGATTTGGTAGGAAAAAAAGAGCATAAAGTAATCTAATGGTTTCTTTTCATACCATGTGAATTAGTAATAAAGAATTATAGATCTGTCTGAGTTCTTCAAGTTAGGAGGGCATCAAGATTAAAGGGATACTTCAGAAAATAATGACTACCTAATTGAACCCCAAACTGCATTATCACTTCTCATCTTGAAGATACTTTTGTATTTGGTTATACTAACCAAGTATTCCTTCTTTCTCAGGAAGTATTTCCTTCTCACCACTGGATTAGTACAAGTTGGCACATAGTCTTGTTAAATATTTTCTCAGGGTAGAAGAGGGGACGTAGTACATATTTTCACACGCATACAGGAGAATCTTGAAGAAATTTCTCTAGGGAAATGTAATGCCTGTTCCAGGTTTGGAACACAGAGGTCAGGAGGACTTCCAACTTCCTCTTCCCCCTGCTTGTTCAGTTAACAGACTATCTGTTTTCCCAAGTAGTCTACATCTTAAATGGTCTCAGACGTAGTCCTCATTCAGACTCAGGGCAGGTTCATCTGAAGAACAGTTTCCCCAGAGGTACACAGTATCAAATAGTAGACACCAGTCCTTTAGTCCATAGCTTCTCTTCACCTCTCGAGGGTAGCTTATGCTTGAAAGTACCATTTCCTTAAGAGTATAGGCTTCCTTTCCCTCTATATCTCTGTCGGGAAAAATTTCCAGTCCTGTCCTGGAAACCAAATGGATGAGTACAGAGGAGTAAGACTCAGCCTTGGAGGAGATTAATAACAGTACCCATTACCCAACATCTATTTGACATCCACACAGGGCTTGCTGTAGACAGTGCAGACCAACATTCAGCAGGATGTTGCTGACCCCAGAATGCTTGGCTGTAGCATGGAACATTCTAATGGCAGACCACAATGAGATCTAAAGTGAATTAGAACTTTAATTAAATTGCTTGTATATTTAATTGCATAATGCATTGCACAGTCTAAGTTTCAATTCCTTATTCAATTATAATGAAACTCCCCTTCAATTGAGTTTGTTTTGGGGTTTAAAGCCAACTCCAAAAGTGTATTGATGCTTTAAGAGAATCCTTGGTCTTATAAAATTTCACCCTAAGAAATGGAGTGTTTTAGTATTAAGTTTGTATTGACTCTTGATATTGACATGAGTCTAGATGTGCAAAACCCACGAAGGCTAAATCCCAGGGGCTTTTGTTTAATTTAAAATATGGCTAGCTGGCCATTGTGAACAGATCTGATAGCATGACGATCTGAAAATATGACTGGTTGGGAAATGATCAAATATTAATTTTAAATGTTTATTAGTAGACTGTTTGCAGTTGGTTTTTAAATTCATTTGGAAAGTGAGGATTCACAGTTATCTAAAATTTTCAATAAACCCCATTTCATAAAGGTGTTTGGAGGTTAAATGCCTAATGATTAATTTATGCATAGGTAATGTTCTTAATAATTTTGAAGAAAGGTAAGGCAGCTGAGGATAATGTTAGAGATGAATAGTAATGAGGAGTGGAAAACTCCAAGATTTAAATGTGGAGCTCATATTCATTAGCCTGAAAACAGAATAGGAAACTAGATAGAAAAGAGGTTTTAAATAGTGGAGTTCAAAGAGTATTGGACGAGAAGAAAGAAAAAGTTAGGGAAAGATGTGGCCATAGGACTTGTGTCTGAAATTCACTCATTCATCACCTAAAGAATGTTGAAAATTATTTGTGAACTATCTTTGCCCTTTCTGGCAAGATAAATTGGAGGGAATATAGAAGTTAATTGGGACATAAAAATAATACTGTAATTGAATATTTTATTTTTAGTTTCTACCTAGAAATTGCAATGTGCTTATCTTGGTCTGGTTTTCTGATGTTTTGGGGAAATACGGTGGCTGGTTCCTATTCCACTGTGTGTAACAGAGGGTATTTAATGGACACATTGGACAGTCTCCCAGTAGCAGTTAAGCATCATTGTATACTTGACTGGGCTTAGAGTCACCTTGGAACCACACCCTGCCTCTGTCTAGGAGTATTTTTCCAGAAACGTTTAACTGAGGAGAGAAGGATTTACCCAGAATGTGGGCAGCACCATCGCTAAGGGCTGTGGTTTTAGACTGAATAAGAAAGAAAAGGTGAGGCGAAACTAACATTTATCTCTTTCTGCTTCTTAACTGTGGACACAATGTGTCCAGCTGCTTCCTACTTCTGCTGCCTTGGCTTCTCCTCCATGATGGACTGTGCCACCAAAATGTGAAATAAACCCTCTTTCTCTTAAGTTGCTGGTAGTTGGGCATTTTGCCACACCAGTAAGAAAAGTAACAGGTCTGTTTGTAAAACTTTCATGTCCTAACATTGATTGACTGCTTCAAATTCTCTGTATTGCATAGGCTTTATTTCATCCTTGGAAATATACACAATGCTAAGATAGTGATCGGGGCGAGTCTCATCAGTTTAATTATAAATGAAGGTACTGTTAGCATTCAGAATCCTCTAGAGGAAACAAGACTGACGGTGTGTGCTGATTCAACAGGGCGTATCCTCTCATAAAGCTCAAGGCATTAAATATGAACCGTTGATCAGAAAGCTCAGCCTGTGTGTGATTCAGGGAACTTGATGACTAGATTTTTTTTTTTTTTTTGAGGAGTCCCTTTGATATGAAAAGCACAAGAAGCCAAGCATTATTGGGTAGAGAATTGATTGACAGCCATTACCCTTCTCCCAGGCAGTTTGGAGACACACCCTGGGAAACTGAAAGGAGCCTGCCAGCCCTTAGAGGTCAGCACTGCCTCCTGAGGAGAGTTAACAGAGCACTACTGAGCCAGGGCTCTTGTGTGGGAATCCTAACTGTTTGTTGCCTTGTGAGGATCAGAGCTAAGTACAGTTTAATAAAATTCCGCTTCAGAGTGATTTGTTTGTCTTCTGTGAGCAATTTCTATCCTGCTTTCCTTTTTCCTTTCTGATTGATTTATGTATCTGTTTGTGTACTCCTTTTGTGCCTCCCCCGCTCCAAACCCAAAGCACTTTGCAAATATCAGAGCTCACATTGTAAAAAGATCATTGATTTTCCCCCACAGCCATGAAGGTAAGCTGTCACATACCATCATTTATTTCTGAGACTGGGGTATTGATAGCATAATATTAAATTCTTTCATTAGAGATTTTATTTTTGTCTAGCAATAACCTAAATTTGAAACATTTTGTGTTTGCCTTTATCTACCAGAATTACCATTTACAAGTGCATACATCCAGGATTATGTCGTTACCTTGTTCAAGCTATCAAGAAAAGGGATCAGATTTCAATATTTTTTTTTCTTTGGCCTAAAACTTCTTTGGTAACTGCCAAATTATTACTCAGGAGACCCACAAAGCAGGCCTCAGGCTAGCTGGTTTACCCAGCATGTCCAAAACTGTTAGAGTTTGTTCAGTGGTGGGAAAACTTGTCTTTTAGACCAAGTGTAGTGACAATATACCACTCCTTGCTCCATCCACCCCATTACCATCTTCAAAGAAACCCAATTCTGCAGTGTCTAGCTTTTCCATGCAGATGCCCACTGGGAGGATGTAAAGACCCGCCCTAGATGCAACCTCTTATGCAGACGCAGTCAGGAAGAGGGAAAATAGGGGACATTCTATCATTTCTCTTTAGGCTAGTTTTCCTCTTTTATGATCTCCCTGTTGCAAGGATGTGCCCTGTAAGCACTCAACTGATTTTTACAAGAGTAACTCTTCAATGCCAACCTCCGAATCCATGTTTTGGTTGCTTTTGTCTTTAATTTCTGACTGTTGGTTCTCATTCCCAATGCCATTGTCTTAGTTTAGGTTTTGAGACCCTGCCACCTTCTCTGTAGAACTTTGAACTCAGTCATCTTTGCAACATGATTTCTGGGAGTTTTCTGTCTAGTGTGTAAATAGGACCTGGCTATCTTCCTGGAGCCATGGGTGCATTTTCATGGCCCCTAGAACAAGAAAAGATTCCTGGATGATGCTAGAATCTGGCCTTTATCCAGCATCAGTGTTACATTGTCAATATGCCTCATACTTCAACCAGATTGAATTCCTGGCAGTTGCAGAAGATAGCAGAGCCCTTTAGACCACTGAACTTTTTCTTGGTGCTTTCCACTGACTTGCTATCTCTCTTGAGGTGCTAGGGAGTACCTCCTTATTATTCAAGACTTAGAATAAAACATGGGGCATATACTTCAAGATCCAGGTAGCGGTAAGGACTTGGTGAACAGAAGTGCTGTATCCCAACAATATTTCTGAGAATCAACAGAAGGAACCACACGAAATTTAAAAGTTTTTCTGTAACAAACGAGGAGAGCCAACAGACAGCTCACAGACTCTCATTCAGGGTTTATTATGTCAAATTTAAAAAGAACTGTAAAACTGGGCACCCAAAATCTGTTAATAAACAAATGGGCTAATGATATGGAACCTAAACTACAAAGATTGGTAGCATTTTGAGTAGTAGAGAAGAAAAATATTCATGTCCAGGGATAGTGGTTTGGAGCAGAGAATTGTGAACAATTAAGGGCACCTTGAAGTAAATGGGTCTCTTTTGAGCCCATGCTGGGATGATAATAGTAGAGATATAATTTTCCTACTTAAAGCATGTTTTTCTTCATGACCCATATTATGATCTCCAAAGAACTTAATGTTTGAAGTGGCCAAGAACACTGTGTTAATTGCTTAATGGACTTGGGCGAGTTACTTGGCTTTGCCGAGCTATCATTTGGGAATCACAACATTGAGATAAAATATCTCATGGTGTGCTGTAACATGCAAACAGGATAATACTGTTCACTATTCATGTATCTCTTCCTGTCTTCTGCTAGGTACAATACAGTTTTTAATATGTCTTATTCATTTAGTCTTAATATAAGCTTTTTGTTGATTGAGAATTATATTTGTTCTACTTCTGGGCAATGGTGGTGCATGCCTTTAATCCCAGAATTTGGGAGGCAGAGACAGGAAGATAGTTTGAAGCCAGCTTGGTCTACAGAACAACTTCCAGGACACCCAGGGCTACACAAGAAAACCCTGTCTCAAAAAACAAAAACCAACAAACAAACAAAAAAAAATGGAAAAATAGCTATATCGACAATAGAAATGTGTAAATTATCTTGAGGGTAGGGCAGTACAAGCAACCTGTGTATGGTGACTGATAGCAACATTTAATTATACCAGTTCATCATGAGACTCCAGAGAGAGTTGGGTCTGCTAAATTGTGGCTGTTCTATGAAGCTGATCATTCTAAAATGGCTTCAGTTCACCAGCTAGAAACATGGCCCTGAGATTGCTTGTCATATTGAATGCCTTTCTGGGAACTGGAATGGAAATGTGATGGAATGATCAGAATGAAACATCCCATGGTTGCAGCTGAGTACAATGGGTTAATGTAACCATAGGCATAAACAGACATTCTGTGAGAAGTTCTCATGGGCTGGGGATGCTATTCTGTTCATTGTCTCATGGATGGGCCTCATGAACCTCCATAGAAACCAAGACCCCTTAATATTCTCTTTTATTAAACTCAAGGTCATAAAAAGGTTGAAAGCAGTAACTTTGGAATCTAGGAGGAAATAATTGAATCATGACACTTAGATTTTTCTAAACTAATGACCCCTGGAAAATTATTAAAGCCTGCTAAGCAATGGGCTTTTAATCTCTAAATGAAGATACCAGTGCTTACTCTGCTGCTTGTAAAGCTACATGAGAAAAGCCATCTAAAGCAATGTGTTAGAATGCTTTACATATCCAACAATATCTCTGAGAATCAACAAAAGGAACCACATGAAACTTAAAAGTTTTTCTGTAACAAATGAGAATAGCAGCAGACCCAACAGACATCCCACAGTGATGGCTGATGCTGGGAATTTCATCCTTCCTTCCAGATCAGTGTTGGCCCAGAATGCTGGTCAATATTTCTGGACAATGTCTGGGAACTTGTTTGGTCATTTCTTACAGGTTCTGATTCCTGAGGCCAAAAGACATTATCTCAGGAATAGCAGGGTATCTAATGATGCTAAGGGTTCTGTATATGATAGGAAATAAACAAAGAACTTTTTCCCATTCTCTCACACAACTCTCAATGCACAATATTTTACCACTAAGAACCTTCACATGTTCAGCATCCTGGAACCTCCACAAACATAGTCTTTCAGGTATTTATTGATGCTGCTGTATTTAGACTGATTAAATCCTTGAACATTAGTGATCAGGTTATTTTCAGAACTCTTTCTTCTCTGAAAGTTGGGGTACAATTCTCACCCTGTGATTGGCAACCGCCCTCCCCATTTTGAAGCTGGCCAGTATGGTCACAAGAAATAACTTCAGGACTTTTATGGGCTGTTTGGTATTTGGTTGGGGAAAAGCCCACTATATATTGTAGACACAATTCAAGAATGAACCCTGAGAGTGTGGTGAAATTTTGACATATGAGACTTGATCTGGGAAAGAGGCAAGACCTTGAGGGGAGCTCTTATAGTGAGGGGAGGCACCTTGAGCTTCCCTGGTCATTCAGCCTCTCCTAAAGCTGAGAATTGGAAGGTGTCAAGGGCTTGATTGGGTTCTCTTGGAAAACAACCCTCCTAGGTCAGAGACTTAATCCTATTTTTATTTCCTGTTATCTATTACACAGTAGGTACTCCATAAATATTTTGAATTTCTTCTGTCAGGATGTCTTGAGAACACTTCTGAGAAATTTTCAATAGATTATCATGGTGCCAGTCAGACTGTTGTGAGTTTTGTTGTACGAGTAGCCACCTGAGCTTTGCTCTTCTGTATGCTTTTTGTCTCATTTGGGACTTTAAATTATTTCAAAATGGATAGACACTGTAGAAGAAGAAGTCCCAAATCACAAGACAATTTGAAGTTCATTGACAAGGATAGTGAGAAAAGTGTGCTTTGCAGAATGTTTTAGTCTGAGTTTCTCTAATGTAATTAGTTTCGAGGGGGTAAAAAGCAACCTTCAGCAGGAAGACTGGAGTGGAGGATCAATCTGATACTTCACAGTGGAGGGTGAGGATGGCTTGCACATCTGAGCATTCTGAATCTATCATGCACAACTAACTCCACAGAAAATAGGCTGCCTTGAAATACCCTTTTCCTACTCATTCTTTTAGGCATTCAT